CTCCTAGTCGCTTCATGGTAAAGAAACCAGCATAAGCTGCGGCTGGGGTGAGTGGGGGGCGGTTGGCTCGAGTACTTTACCCTTCTTCAACCTTAATGGTTGAACAATTTGGTTTATTCTACCGAAGACTATGATTTATGGTTTTTGCGTTTGTGCTCCCGTACAAACTTTTTTTCCCGTACCTTTCCATCCTTTTTTTCAGCCAGTTTACCCCTTAGCTTTTCCCGCTATTGTCATGTACTGAAATCTTGCTGGTTGCAGGTTCCCGCTTACGGCTTTGGTCGGTTTCACTCTCCTAGAGCTGGACTGTATTCTCTGTGCATAAAGCCTGTTTGCGTTTTCCATCGCTTATGGCTTTCTTATGTTGTCTTGCATTTTCAGCTGGCTGCTAAACATTTTCGTGCACTTGTAACAGGTTTCCCAATTTCCCCTGCAAGCAAAGTGGTTTGAGTTTTCGCTCTCAAGCCGTTGTATGTTTTGCCGCGTTTGCATCCGGTTCAAAGTTTTCCTTCCACAGTATGTTTCCTTCGACTTTTCTCTTTGTTTTTAACTGATGGTGGGGTTATCTTGCGTTGGTTTCGCTTATTCTACTTAGTCCTACGGAAATATTGCTGCTCTTTTAAACCTTTACACCCTAACATCAGAATGCATATTTTCCATACTGTTCTCTATACATTTCCTAATGTGCTGCCGAGGATAATTTGCTTAACATTAATTGGTGATCCTTTCCTTTATTTTCGTGACCTGAATTTTGTTTCGGGGTTGGTCGGGGTCGGTGGTGATAAAACAGATGCTAGTCACCCTTAGAATCAAAGAGTTTATCGTGTTTGGGCTGCTGCTGCTATATTTCCAGTGGTTATGAAATTATTTCTTTTAACCAATTACTATTTTGATCCGTTTAGAATCACTGAGACCACCACCAGTTGATCTTGCGTTTGCTTTAAGCGCAACCTCTTTCCAGTCGAACGTTTCTTATCCACTGATGAAGGAGGTGATAAATTCTATCATACAACAATACGGTACAAAGGACATCCATTTCTCCTTTATTATTTACGGTTCTGAAGCATCCACTAAGTTCAGCTTCACCAAAGAGCAGGTGGATCCCGACGACTTACGAAGATTCGTCACATTTATGCCGGAGATCACTCCACCGACATCACCTCATGTTGCCCTTGAGGCGGCTTCTGAAGCTTTCAAGGGATCGGGTGTGCGCGCCAATGCTTCTAAGGTACTCGTTTTGATGACTGACGTAAAGGGGGATTCATCCAAGGAAGAGATTGAGTCAACCTTTGCACCATTGAAAGAGCAGAAAGTGAAAGTTATATCCGTGGGGATTGGGTCAGATGTGGATACAAATGAACTGGTTAATATTACAGGCAATAGCAACAACGTTATCACTGTTCCCATTGATGCAGGCGAGACATCTTTGACCAAGGAATTGATGGAGAAAGTTTTGCGGCCAGGTTTGGATAATACATATATTATATTGGATAATATAAGATTTTGGATAATATACCCACCGATAATAAATCTTTCGATTTATTTTCGCAGGGAACTACTGGCATAAATACGGCAATAGGAGGCGAGCCCTCTCTTCACTGAGCCACCCTAGCTTCTTTGATCTGCTTATTAGTAAGCTTGAATATTTACATGCTTATTTATTGATCCATCATAGGTTTGCCAGAGGTACCTAAAATCGATGTTGTGTTCGCCATAACTGCAGTATCGTCTAAAGCTGATGAGGTGTTCCAAACGACGAAAAAGGCGATCACTTCTATTGTCAACAAGTACGGAACGGGTAACATGCAGTATGGCGTGATCCTATTCGGAAGCGGAGCTTCGTCATATGTAGACTTGGCCTCTTACTCCACAAGCGATGAGTTAAAAGCCTTGGTCACAAAACTCCCCATTTTAAAAGGAGGTCCTGCCTTAGATGAAGCCCTCAAGCGCGCAGGAAAAATGTTTACATCGCCAAATGCGCGCAAAGATGCACACCAAATCTTGGTCGTGATCTCAGACAAAAAGACATCTTCCAATCTTAATGATGTCATTTCTGAGGCGAATAAACTTCAAGATTTAGGCGTGACAGTCATTTCCGTAGGACTAGGCAGCGAGGTTGATGAAAACGAAATCCAAGAGATTACACCTGATGTGAGCGATGTCATCGTAATTTCCAAAGTTGTTGACTCCGACGATCTCAGAAGGAAAGTAATGGAAAAGATTTTAAAAGGTACTTTTTTCTTGCGTCTTTTTATTGATGTCTCTGATTTAAAGCAAAAGGTATGAAGGTGTTAACTGTTAGAAAATTCCATCTTGTATCAGAGGACTCGAGAATCAGTAAACCACACTCGCTCCCTGGAGTGACCATTAAGAATTTCTTCCTTACAATATCGATACATTTTCGGGCAGAGAGGTAACGAGAAGAAAGAAATAATGTCAAGCCCCATAGTTTCACCTCAAAGACCAAATTCCCAAAGCTAAAGTTCTAAGAAACGTATGGCGGACAGAATGGATGATCGATGTTTAGATCTTAGGGGGGCAAACGCTTCAATCGCCAACGAAGCAAGTCTTTAGTAGATAAATGTCTGATTCCTCGAGAGCAACGAACCCATGACCGTTGGGGTTTGAATCCTCTCTAGTGGAGAGATGCGGTGGCCTGTCATTTAGCGCGCTGGACTCTGGGTCGACTCCTGGCTCCTAGCGCTTCCCTTTACCAAGGGATATGGTGGGAGAACTGGACAAAACGCTAGGGGTAACCTTCGATTAACTAGCATCCCGTCCAGGGGGTGTAGAAATGTTCTTACTCGCTTCATACCTCGGAAATCGGCTTAAGCTTATGAATTTACTTTACCCCTGATCATGCTCATAACAATATGTTTCTTGTAAGATTTTCGCCTTGTACACATTTTTTGTAACTTTTTCCAGTACGTACAAGAGCACCTGAAGTCGACGTAGTGTTCGCTCTAACAGCTACAACAGGGAACCCTGAAGACGCGTTTCAGCGCATGAAGGATGCTGTTAAAATCGTAACAGACACTTACGGAATACATCGGCTCCATTACAGCCTTATCGTGTATGGAAGCCGGCCTAGTGAGGAATTCGACTTCAAAACTAGTTTTCCCACGCGATCAAGCATTAAAGACTTCATTGAAAATTCCCGAAGAGTTTCAAGTCGCCCTGGAACCAAACGGGCCTTGGACGAGGCTTTGCAAATCATCAAAGATTCAAGTCTACGTCCATCGGTCAAAAAGGTTGTTGTCCTTTTGACAGATGGTGTTTCGGATCTGGATCCTTCGGCTATTCAAGGGGCAGTTCAGTCCATGGAGAAGAATGGGATCCCTGTTCTAATATTTGCTTTAGTCAACAATCCTAAAACTGAATTTGAAGTTTCAAAAACTGTCAACCCAGTAGATCTTGCTAGAAAGGTTATGGAGAAGGTATTTGATGGTAAGTGCGTTTGATAAATGAATCGAATGCATCTTTTCATACCAAACAAAATTAATAAAAACGTCCTCTTCGGGAACACGTGATACGTGATATGTGCCAGATATGCATAGCCCTGCTGCGTAGATTAAGAGGTTTATAAGACTTTCCATAAGAGCGCTTTTCGTAGTGTCGTAAACCAAGAGCCAAAGAAATCACAACAGCCTATAAAAGCAAAGTGAAATATCACAAGGAGCCAATGAGGGGTTAAACGGGCAAGAAAACTGGTCCATGAGCGGGAAAACGCAACTGACCAAGTTACGCTTGGTTTTAGGTTAGTATCTGATTGGATTAGAGGGTGGTGCGATATTTTTAGACCAATCACCAGGCAAAACAAATACAAACCAGTGCAATATCGGAGTACTTTCAACACTCAGTTGAAAATTACTCTAAGAGCCTCTTTGTGTTCTTTGTTTCAGTTGTGGTGGAACCACCAGAGATGGATCTTTGTTTTGCTGTTAGTGCTACAGCGGCACTTTCTCAGAAGACTTTCAACCTCATGAAAAAATCTATCATTGATGTGGTGGACACCTATGGTGCAGGCAAAGTTCGCTACAGTGTGGTGTTATTTGGATCCGTGGCCAGGCTAGTTGTGAAGTTCAGCGATGGTGCTTTGGACCCCACGAGGCTGAAAGGTGCCATAGGTTCATTGGTACCAAGCAGTGGAGCCCCGGCGTTAGATGAGGCGTTGGAAAGGTCTTTGGAATCTTTCAAAGATGGCGAGGACCGTCCGAACGCCAGAAAGGTCCTTATCGTCATGTTGGACAACGAATCAGGTCTCCAGTTGAGTGACATTATGTTGAAGACGAGAGCTTTAGAGACGAAGAACATTCGTGTTATTACTGTAGGCATAGGAGACAGCACAAACAAGGAGGAATTAGAAACAATGGCTTCCGATAACAGGGATATTCTGCTTGTGCCAACTTCTGAGCCTCCAAGCATGCTTTCCAAAGATATCATGGTGTTGGTTTTAACAGGTAAGTGGCATAGACGTTTGTGGTGACTGAATAGTGTGGCAGGGTACAGATGTTGCAGCTTTTGGCCCAACTGTCTACACAGTGGAGGTTTAAATGTCACTGCAATTTCGTCTGTCTCCTCATTTGTTTTTTGCCAACGAAGAGCTCACTTTCAAAATGAGTCTTACGTCGCTTTCGAAGCGTGTTTTTTTAACTCTTATAATTTTGTCACTCGATTTGCCATCACTAACTTTAAGTTATTGCTTCACTAATATTCACGATGATCCACAGCGTGTCCTTTGAAAAAGAATATAATTTGATTATCTGCCTGTCAGTCTGTTTGTCCATACGTTCGTCTCTGTCTGTCTGTCTGTCTATCCGTCTGTCTCTCTATATGTCAGTCTGTGACTATCACACTAGTCGAACACATTACATTAAAGTCTCCTTTTAATTATCCTTTTAAGTTAGCTAAATTTAAAACAATATTAAAACAAGAATTTGATTGTCGACTCATCCTTTAGATCGTCCACTGAATGTCCCCAAGTTAGATTTGGTGTTTGCCATCTCAGCGACTGGCACATATACAAGTGAAACGTTCCAGTTAATGACAGATGCCATCGACTCCCTGCTCCAGAAATACGACTCTAGTAACATCCGTTATGGTCTTATTGTGTACGATGATGACGCTTCAGTTATCGTCCATCTCAGAAACGCTACTTATGCTGATCAGGTTCGGGAAGTGTTGGAAACAATCGAGGAACCTTCGGGTGGATCGGCCCTCGACAAGGCTCTGGAGAAAGCTGCTGATATGTTCGCCGATGCTGGAGATCGGCAGGATGCGGACAGGGTCCTGGTAGTCCTGACAGACAAGAGCTCTGGGCTCGACGAAGATCTCGTGTCAGGCACCGTTATGCGTCTTGAACAGATGGTCGTGAAGATTATTCCCGTGGCTGTTGGTGATGAAGTCAGTCCAGTGGAATTTGTGATTGTGACCAATAAGGGCAACATAATTGAATCTGAGAAAGACAAAGATCCGGATGAATTAAGAGAAGAGATCATGGAAAGAGTGATAAGTAAGTACACTTTGAACGTCTCTGTTGAAGAGTTTTTCGACTGATCGTCAACAAGTAACTGAAACCAAATTGATCACAGCGGCTAAACAGAACAAAAGAAATATAACAAGGAGGTAATAGGATTCTAAGAAAGAACAAGCTCATTGCCAGAAGTGCGGGAAGACGCGTGTGACCAAGTGGCTATAAGTGCTAGCTTCCTATCTGATTGGTTGAGAAGTTGACCAATAAAACAACCAAGTCAGAGAATAATAATGTAATTTCGAAATTAATTTTGACACTCAATTTAAAACTTGTCTATTGTGCAATGTGATACTATTGTTGGGCAATTTTTATCGTAACGTTTTTGTTCTTTCTTTCTTTTTTTGCTTATTAGATGGAACCCTTCGGATACCAGAAACCAACTTGGTTTTTGCAATCTCCGCCACTGGACTCGAAGCTGAAGAAACATATTCATTTATCAAAGATATCATCAAGTCGATTATTGAGAACTATGGAACGGAGAGACTGGAATTCAGTGTCATTGTGTACGGTGATTATGCCTCACCACAAGTCCGTTTTGGAGACATTTTTGCTTCAGATGCCGAATTAGTAGAAGCTGTTGGCAGTATGCCTCGGATGTCAGGGAGCCCTTCACTTGAGAAGGCTTTGGAAGCAGCAGAAGATCAGTTTAACAGTCCGTTCATACGATACAATGCAGCTAAGGTAAAGTAGTTCCAAGTGAAGCTAACGAAGCTCTTCACTTGAAATAAGTTGATAACAAACTATTCAAGAGATCGATTTTTTTAGATTTGCCTTTTAGGTTGAAAGTTTAACTTTTTGCTATCTAATTTCATCGCACTCCCTCTCTGCGCTAAATTTAGCTCCTGGTTGGAATTCTTTCTTTATTTCTTTATTTCTGGAACTCGCCAGAGAGGCGCATCTTGGTTTTTTCGTAAACGGGTCAGGTGACTTAACCTTCGTCCCTCTCCTTCAATCAGGCAATAGTTTTTTCTTTCTGCAAAATGACACCGGACTGACTCCCAGATATGTTAATCGGCTGCATAAGTTATACCATGATATAGTACTAAACCCGAACTGGGAGCCCTCACAGTAAGATGACATGATTCTTGTAGGTGTTAGTTGTCATCTCCGACAAGTCATCTGGTAAGAGCCCTCGAGATATTAGAGCAGCGGTTGTGCCTCTAGAAACAGCTGGAGTTCGCGTGATCGCAGTGTCTGTCGGGACAGAAGTGAACCCTGCAAAGGAGAAGGCAGTATCAACTGATGGACAAGTCATCAAAACCGACAATGAAAAAAATCCTACTAACGTGGGCAAGGAGATCATCGATAAAATTGCCAAGGGTAAGTCTGAGTAGGATTGTGTTTTTTTTCTTAACCTTTAACTTTCAGGATCGGACGGCTACTTTTTAGAATTTGATGACGTACAGTCGAGCGGACCACTCAAATTATACTAAAAATAATCTATCAAGTAAAATTTTATCCGTGTTTATCTCAATTACGGCATAAAATGGCGTTTTTTTTATCGTTTTTCAAAGTACACCTACTCTCTTGAATCTGTATTGAGCAGTAAACCTGTATTAAGTGGTCCCCCCGCCATTTCCTGTGGGTGTTTAACTCCGGGGCTGCGCTCTCTGATTGGATTAACTCTTCTGATCGCAGCGTTGTATATCTTCACTATTCGTGGGCCTGCTTACACATTTTATATGTTCTACCTTTTTACAGGTAAATCTCCAATTCCTGAACTTGAACTTGGGTTCGCCATTGCTGCTGGCTCATTGTTTGCCGACGAAACATTCAAGCTTATGAAAGACACAATTTCAGCGATCATCCGCGAATACGGCGTGGGAAAAATCAATTATGGGCTGGTTGTCTTTGGGGACACTGCAACTATCAAGATTCGGTTCAACGATTTTACTGACATCAACAATCTTCTACAGTTCCTCAGTGCTACTCCCAAAAAAAGAAGCGGCGCTGCTGTGGATGAGGCACTTATAGAAGCTGAAAAGTTGTTCTCGCCGGCCAACGTTCGACCCCGTGCGAGAAAGGTGTTAGTTGTGATTACAGATCTACAGTCAGGAAAATTGCCGTCCGAGGTGCGCGAGGCAACAAGACCACTACAAGATAAGGGAATAAAAATTGTCGCCGTAGCAATCGGTAAAGAAGTTGACCCGAAGGAGTTTGAGATATTTACTTCAAGAGAAAACATAATTGAGGAGAAAAGAAGCGCAGAGCCTGATGATCTAAAGATGAAAATTATGTCTATGGTCTTCAGAGGTGGGTCGTCACAAATTGTTATATTTACAGATTTGTAAATTGTCTCTTCGGAAAATTCTTTGAGAGTTTCACCTTTTAATTTGATAACTGAGCTCATATTGTGTGGAGAAAGGGTTTGTGCTGACAGTAGTAAGTTGCCATTTATTATAAAAACTCAGCGAGGTTCTGAGGTTTTTGAAACCAACCGAAATTTAATCTAAAATTAATAATTCACCGAAAATTGAATGTTGTTCACAAAAATTATACTTATTTTTTAATTTGGTCTGCAAAATTTTGAATGCTGCCTTCTTGCCTTAACCCGTTATACTCCAACGTTAGAATTCATGTTCTCCGCACTGTGCTCTTGTTATCTTCTTTCGTAACGACAAGGAGAATTTGTTTGATAATCAATAGCTTTTTAAATTGACGTGACCTTCATATTTTAATTATGGCTGATACTGTAAGGAGAATAAGAAGCCACTTACTCTTAGGGATAAAAGGGCTAAGTTAATTGGGAATTGACCGGTGATCAAGAACGGCATGTTTTTGACGCAAGTACTCCGTAACGACTTAATGAAGTGAGTAACGAATGTATTTTATGTCTCTTTGTTCAAAAGTTTCACCCTCGTTTCCCAAACTGGACCTTGTGTTTGCTCTTAGTGCAAACTCCGGAGATGCTGATGCTACATTCACCCTCATGAAGACCACAATCAGAAAAGTCATGAATGACTTTAGGTATGGTGGTGGGAACATTCAATACGGAATCCTCGTATATGGAGCCACTGCAGGAACAACGCTGCAACTTGGAGACTCATCTTTCAAGGACATTCTGGACCTCCGGAAATACATTAAAAACTTACCAAAACAAGCAAGTGATCCCCAAGTTGACAAAGCACTGCAAGAAGCTTTGAAAATTTTCCAAGGACCAAATGCTCGCCTTGATGCCAAACGGGTGCTTGTTGTTTTGACTGATAAGAAGTCGACTTCCAGCCCAGCGTTGATCAAGTCGAGTGCACAACTAATGGAGGAGAACAAAGTCCGCGTGATCCCAGTGGGAATCGGAAGTGAAACAGATCGCAGTGAGTTAAGAAGCATCACTTATAACAAGGGGGATGTTATAGAGGCAGAGAAAGAGGAGGAGTCTTGGAGATTGGCCCGAGCAATAATAATCAAGATCTTGACAGGTATGTGAGCGTTACGATTTGTAAAAGAGCAATTTTCAATTGAGGGTCGAAAGTAAGCTGGGATTGCTTTGGTTTAACCTTCACTTGGTGATTGGTCCAGAAATACTTGCGCCACTTTCTCAACCAATCAGACTCAAAACAGAACCAACTGCGTCCTAGTCACTCGCGTTTTCCCGCGCTTCAGACAGTGTTCATACTTCTTCTTTGTTACCCCATTGGTGATAATTTGCTTTGTTCTCATTGGTTGCTGTGACTATTTTGGCTTTGGTTTATATCACCCAATTGAAATGCTTCTCGAAGCAAACACAGTGCATTGCCCTGCCTCCAGGAATTTCTGGGTAAAAGGAAAAGAATTTTATCGACACTTTCTTTCAAACTTGTCAAGTGCTGTGGAAGATACTCGAGGGTGGTGTTTAATGAAGATTCATCGTAATTTTTGAGTAAGGAAAACGTCATTAACAAATCTGAAACCGGCTGTCTCTGGATTTGGTGGAAAGCATAAGCGTACATTTCAAACTGGTTTACTTTAGTTCCACATATTTCGATTGTTATTGTTTTTTTGACCAATGACGCAGTGAAATAAAGTATAGCCAGTGCAATCTGAACCATATTCGGTAATCAATTTAAATGAATTTGTTACTGACATGTTTGTTTTGCAAATTACCCGTGAGAATCGATTATTACTTTTGGTTTTAACATTTGGGATCAACTTCAGTATCTGAGCGACAGCGCACCCACTCCCACCCCCACCCCCCTTCTGATGTGCAGTTGCTTAGATACTGACAGTGGTCCAACATTTGTTCTTTTCAGAACCAACAAGGATAGGAAAACTTGACCTCGCATTCGCCATTGGTGCTGCGTCACGTGACGCTAAGAACGTTTTGCAGCATATGAAGGAAATCATCAAAAGCATAGCTGATATGTATGGCACTGACTTGATCCACTATGGGGTCATTACTTTTGACTCGGAGGCTGCTATTAAGTTACGCTTTGGCAACAAAATTAACTCTGCGGAGAATCTGAAAGCGTTCATCGATTCAATACCTGCGCCAAATGGTGGGCCTGCCATCGACAAGGCATTAGAGGCGGCTAAAGTTCTCTTTGGAGGCGATGACGTTCGTTATGACGCGCAAAAAGTTCTCGTGGTGATGGTGGACAAGCGATCCAGTGGGGACGAAGTCTCTGCCATGAAGACAGCGGTGGAGCTCAAAGAGAGTGGAGTTAATATTATCACAGTTGCTGTGGGAAGCGAAACTGACCTCGTTAACCTGAAAAATATCTCGAAAACTCCTGGTAACGTGATCAACACCACCAGCCGTGGCAAACCTGATGAAGTTGGCAAGGAAATCGTGGATAAAACAGGTATAATGAGAGTTATCCCCTGTTGAAAGTGTCAGAGAGAGTTAAAAACAGTTGTCTTTGAATGAAGGCTTCTTTAGTGTACCGTAAAGAATGCAAATCATCAGAATGTGAATGTTTCTATGAAGAGAAACATAATTAAGTGATACAGCTCTTTCGAGAAAAGTTGTCGGGAAAAAGGACAAAAGTGCACGCGATAATCTCGAAAGGTAATAGAGGTATCTGATGATCCGTTCCTTTTAATAAGTTTAATTAATAAATAAATTCATCAAACCCGCTATATCCTGTTCTCTCAGTGAATTTTTCTCAGATTTCCCTGAAATCCTGTGTTCATGAAACTATGACGTGAAAAACTACCCACAATACTGTTCGGGTTTCGCGTGCACTTTAACGCTATTTTTCCGACAACTGTTCCCAAAACAGCTGTATACAGAAATATAAATTTTAGTCAAAAAGATTTTAATTTAACTGGCATTTTCAATGGATTATCCTCTACAGCTTTCAATTTTTTCGTTGTAATCTTCACACATCACACCTAGTTATAAACAAGAACCTTTTATTGAGATATAATACATTAACCCAAATTACAAAGGTAATAGTCTGATATCCTTTCCAAAAATTTTTTTGAGGTAAGTTGGTGAAAGTTCAGCCGCTAACACACCTCGAGTTAAAGTCGGCTTTGTCTTTGTTTCAGACCCATTGAAGGTGACAAAGATCGATGTAGGCTTTGCTCTTGGCGCCACGTCCCGAGATGCATCAGTGACGATCAGACTTATGCAGGAATCCATCAAGTTCATAATAGACACTTACGGAACAACAAACCTGCATTACAGTGTTATGAAGTTTGATGAGCGGCCGCAGGTTTTGGTCCGTTTTGCGAACAAACACTCTTCTGAAGAGTTAAAGGAGATCATTGAGGAATTTATCGTGCCCAGTTCTGGTTCGCTAGATTTAGAGAAGGCGTTGATTGAGGCGAAGAAGCTGTTCGATGAGGCGGTAGCTAGACCAGATGCTAAGAAATTCCTGATAGTGTTCATGGATAACAAGTCAAAGAATGACAGGATTGCTATCGTTGACGCATCTAAACCGATCATTCCAGAAAGTGGCGTTGTACCTGTTGGAGTGGGCGAAGAAGTGGACAAAAAGGAGTTAGAGGCCATTACTCCTCTGAAGAACACAACAGTAACAGCACCGAAGACAGGAAATCCCGATGAAGTGGCAAAGGAGATCATTGATAAAATGAAGAAAAGTAAGCCTCCATCAGTAGTTTAAGGGGGCATTGTGATACACAGTCAATCAGTGAAGAGGGTTATGTACAACATTGACAATTCTTGTGATATTGGATCAACTAACAATCCTCTAATCGACATTTTTCGTTATTTTCAACACTTGTCTGCTGGATATTGTATTGATATTATAAGGAGTAATTCTGTCTCGGTCCCCTATGGAAGTGAAAATGTTAAGTTTAATTCTTCCCATACTTCTGCACTTCTCCCTTAAAAAAAGACATCTTTTGGCCACTTACTTGGAAGGTAAATGTACTAGTCGCGCTGAAAGGCACAAAATGTTTCGCCTCGTCCCCATTTTGTTATCAATATTTCATGGTTAAAGTTGAACACTTTGGTTTTCCCGGGGAACACGGTGGCTAAATGGTCAATGCGCTGGACTCTGGGTCGTGATTTAGCCGGGTCATTGGGTTGTGTTCTTGAGGCAAAACACTTTATCCTCAAAGTGCCTCTCTCCACCTAGGAGTATAAATGGCGATTTGTCAGGGAAGCCTAATGAAATCCCGGAGGAAAACATTGCGATGGACTGACATCCCACCATTGATATTCTTAGTCACTTCATGTTATAGAAACCGGGATAAGCTCCTGATGGATGGGCCATCTGGCTGGAGTTTAGACTTTCCCATTTGCCGTCCAGTTGTTTAATTTGACTTAATCTAACAGATGAATTTACTTTTGTTTTGTTTTCAGTTATCCTCGAACCAACGGTTCCTGAAGTCGACTTGGGTTTTATCATATCTGCTGGTTCGACTGACGCCTCAGCCACGTTGCAACAAATTAAGGACATCGTCAAGTCTTTCATCAATAAGTATTCCACCTACAGACTTCGTTATGGCATCATCTCAGGTGGAAGCTCGCCACGCATAGAGCTCGCCTTACCTGACAGCGTAAACTCAGGTGTATTACAAAAGGTTGAAAGTCTTTCTAGACCCAGGGGTACCCCAGACCTGGCCAAGGCTCTACTTCTTGGTGCAGAGCTTCTGTCTCCCGCTCGACCAAGCGCTCAGAAAGTCCTGGTTATAATCACAGACGTCAAGTCAGGCAGCTCTTCAAGGCAGTTGAGGCTTGCAACACAAGCTGTTGATAATAAAGGAATTCGCGTCCTTGCAGTCACCATTGGCAAGGAAGTGGATCGTTCCGAGCTGATAACGGGAACAGGATCTGGTGAAAACATCATCAACAGCTCCAAAACTGACGAAGGCGGAGAAGTCAGGGAAAAAATCATGAAAAAAATTAGAGAGGGTAAGCGTGGAAGTTTTTTATATTTTTTGGTTTCACGAGCTATTCTTGATTGAGAAAATAATGGTCGTAATGCTATTTTTTGTTGTTTTTCTCCAGCAAAACAAATTCAAGATGTTGACGTAGTGTTCGCCATCAGTGCCACGGCAAGAGACTATCGGCGAACCTTCAGTGTAATGAAAGGAGTGATGAAGTCCATCTTTGATCAGCTTGGTGTTGAAAGCATCCGGCCAGCGATAATCGTATATGGAGACAGTGCGTCTGTGCGGCTACGCTTTGACGAGGAAATCACCGACATAGACGAATTGAAGCGACGCATTGATAACTTACCGCGGAACACAGGAACCCCAGACTTGAATGCAGCATTGAAAATGGCGCAGGTCGTATTTGCGGGATCTCGACCAAATGCCAAGAAAGTGCTTGTGATTATTACTGATGACAAGTCAGATAGTAAACCGTGGGTTATTACAGCGGGAGCGAGACAACTTGAAGAAGAAGGGATCGAAGTTGTAGCGGTTGGAATAGGAAGTGAAGTTGATCGCAAACAACTTGAAACCACTACACCATACAAGGACAACATTATCACAGCAGATAAAGATGATGACACCAAGGATATTGCAAATAAGATTGTAGTGATTATACTAAGAAGTAAGTGGTTATCTTTTCATAAAAAAAAAGCGAGATGGCGTAAACTCAGTGATTACCTACAAGTGAGGAACTTGTTGAATTCCTAGGAAGAGTTTGTGAATTCCTTCATGTTGGGCTTTTACGTGATTAATTTTAAGTGGCTCGTAGGTATCAGGTTCTGAATGTCATGTTTGCTTATCGTTGATACAGCTGTTTACAAAGTAAGCGGAATTTTTGACCCTAAACGGATGCACCAATCTGCGCGCTTTAACAATTGAGTTTGGAAAACTAAAACCACATAATTACAACGACCAGTTAGAGGAAAAGGAAAGGAGCCAATTGTAATTTAAAGCAAAAACGAGCAGATCGCCTGAGGAAAAAAAACATGTAATCAAGTTGCAGATGGTTTCAATTTTGAATTTGATTGGTTGAGAGAGTGGACCGAGAGCAAAGTGAAGCATAACTAATCCGGGACTAGAGAAATATGTTTTCATCTTGTCATGAACGTGGGACAAATAATAAGTTCTCAGTCTCCATTGAAGAATCGAGGCTCAGCGATCGAATTCCGCGTCTGATGTTCTACCATTGAGCATCAGAGACTCTGCGGTAGACAAGCCATCACGAACTTTCTTATGTGACACGCATCCTGTATACTGCTAGGATCCCCGATTGTTACTAAGTAACAAATACAACGTAGCTGAAATTTGCGCCTGCGAATTAACAATCAAAGCGCTTTCCAGTGTTTAAGTTATCGTCGCGGTAATGATTTTGTTAGGTTTTGTTTATTTTTATTTTATAGCAACAATGCATCATTGTGTGTTTTTTTTAAATCTAACTTTGTTGTTTCTTTCCGTATCAGAGAGAATACCTCTTCCAAAGATCGACTTGATGTTTGTAATAAGCTCGCAATCGTCTAAATCCTCTCAAACATTCCCTTACATGAAGGCCATTTTGACTGACATTATGCAGAATTACAGCACAAATCAAATCCACTTCGCAGTTGTGTTGTACGGTAATGAACCTTCTGTCATTCTGCGATTTTCTGACGGATATACGGATCCTGACAAACTTGTAGAGGAGATAAGCTCGGCTAGAAACGTCCCTGGGGGCTCAGCACTAGACAAGGCATTACAGACAGCTAAAATGATTTTCACTGAGGACGAGGCCGTTAGGCCGGAAGCGCGGAAAATCTTGGTCATCATAACAGACGAGAAGTCATCTGGTGATACGGTGGTTGCTAAGGGTGTTGCTAAGGACTTAATTGACAATCACGTGTCTATTATAACTGTTGCACTTGGAAGCGAGGCTGATCGTAAAGAGTTAGAAGAGCTCACTCCCACTGATGGCAACTCCCTGAACGCAACAACGGACAAGGATCCGGGAGAGACTGCTGAAGAGATCATAGGGAAAATAGCACAACGTACGTGGTTATTTCTAAATGATTATTTGAAGTTTCTGTTAATTACATTAGTTAGTTGATAACTTTAAGCTGATAGAGGTTGTTGCAAAAGCTGACTCTTTGAAGTGTGGCCCTTGTTGGGATAAGTTTATGATGGGCTAGCGGTCGAAGGCTAGTGGTCGAAGGCTAATGGTCGAAATAAAAGAAGAGTGGACGTGGAGTAATGATTTTTCGTGGATACGTGAAAAAAACAATAGCACGAGCACATCAACCTTTGATAAGATCTTATCCGTCTTCATTGACTATGATTTTTCTTCCTACATGTTAACACACGGAACTCTTGAATGTACTTTAGTGGGGATGTAGTCTTTCTTCCTTGAATATTCTTACAAATGTTTTAGTTATTTCATATTTTTAGTTATTTCTCAGAGTGTTTTTTTTTCCTGACAGTTCCAGACCCTATCAACGTAGAGAAGATCGACATAGTCTTCGCAGTTAGCGCCTCTTCGTCACAGGCAAAGGAAATATTCCAGTTAATGAAAGACACTCTGTCGTCCATTGTCGCCACACATGGCGCTGAAAATATTCATTATACCATTGTGTCATATGGATCTCAAATAAGATCTTTTGTGAACTTTCAAGACAATTTTGGAGACGAGAAAGGCTTGTTGAGGATACTAGAGAACCTCTCTCCCGTGGGTGGTACACCTGATTTGGACAAGACCCTTGAATACGCAAAGAGTGCATTGGAGGGACCGGGCTCCCGTGCAGACGCGAAGAAATTCCTTGTGCTCCTGGTGGACAACAAGTCGGGTAGCACCGAAGAAGATGTGTTGAAATTTGCGTTCTTACTGGAAGGTGGCGGGATAAAGGTGATACCAGTAGGAATAGGAGGTGCTGTAGACCGCGAGGAACTAGAGAACACTACCCCGCTGAAGGGAAATATCATTGAAGTTCCAGAGGAATCAAAGCCCGAGAATCTTGGGAAGAAAATTATCGACAAGATCCGAGAAAGTAAGTGTAGAAATTTTCCATCATTAGAAGAAACGTCGGTCTTATTAGATCGCACCGCAGAGACCCTGTTATTGCTTTCTTCTGTATAGTGCTCGGTTATTTCGAAATATGTTCAGTTGTTAAATGGGGCTATTTTGAACGGGTGTGCCTTTGAAATAAATAAATTAGATTATAGCAGAGGCATCATCACTGAGGAGTCTTCGTCGTCGATGGTTGGAAAAAAGGATGTTTCCAGTTGAAGAGGGAGGAGAGCATGGATCCTCCCTCCAACCCGAGGAACGACAAGAATCAAGATCAAACTCCACACATGACGCCATTTTAGTGAATTGAACCGCAGTGGTTGGAGGCTAGCATTGTCGCCACTGCGCCATCCCCTCGTCCTCTTTTTCCTGCAGAAATTTATTGCCCTCCCTCAGTTATAATGTTAAGACATGTTAGCTTATCTAAATCATCTAACCTATTTTTCAACAGATCTGTTCCTTCCATCAATCCCAGAGGTCGACCTGGTGTTTGCGATCAGCGCTGCGTCAGCAAATGCAGATGAAAACTTCAAGAAAGTAAAGGAAGTTATAAAGGCCATCATTGACACGTACTCCATGAACAAGCTCCGCTATGGTGTCATTGTATTTGGATCGAGCGCAACCACAAGAATCGCCTTACTGGACGACTTCCCCAGTGATAAGAAACTCAAGAGTTTTTTAAATATCATTTCCAGAGAGAGAGAGCTTCCTGATTTAGATAAGGCTCTAAAGATGGGAAAGGAATTGTTTTATGAGACACCAGAGCGTCCAAATGCAAGAAGAGTTCTTGTGGTAATCCTGGATAGAAAGTCTACAAGTAAGCTTCCCCAATTAAGGGAAAGTGCGAAAATGCTGGAGGAAGACAGTATCAGGGTGATAGCAGTTGCCATCGGAAACGAAGTAGATCGTAATGAACTTGGAGTGATCACACCTGACAAGACCCACGTTATCAACGTCACCACCGACGTCACTGTCATTGATTTCAAAGAGAAAATAATCCGCAAAGTGTTTGAAGGTAAATCCACTTACCGCGATGTTATAAAAGTTAAATATTTACATTGTCTCTCATTTTTGTTTCATACACGGTGGACTGTTAGGAAAATTGAACGGGACTCAATTCCTGTAAAATGGAATGAAGTTTTAAAACGTGAATTTTTAGCAGATAGATTGTGGTTTTTTTCGACGCTCAGTTGACGTTCAGTGCTTAGACTTTGAGTGCAAGTCAGTTGCGTCACACACAACAGTGAGTTGGCAAAATATGGCAAAAATGAGGCTGAGAATGTAATTACATAACTAATAGAAGTAACGTTTTTGCAAATACTGTTTCTCCAAACTCTTTAAACCCCTATAATCTAATTTTTCTTTACAATGGCACACCTGAATCATGCAGTAAGGTCATTGGAACAAAGAAAATTATCAGCAGCTGTAGAAACTGTTGATTTTTACACAAATTCTCCTTGTCAGCATCTTAGGGAATGAATGTCTACTGATTGTAGGATGTAAAGAGTTAAACCTTTCAATGCATTGGCCTTAAATTCTACCGCGAGTATCTCTTGTCCACTGAACTGTACGATTCATTTTTCAGAGGAGAAAGGCGAGGAACATGACTTTGTCATTGCGGTGTCTGTTGGTCTTAGAAACATGCCGTTCTTCAAGAAAATGGGTATAGAACTTTTGGATAGATATCCAATTAGCAGAGCTGCTTACAGTTTCCTTACCTACAACTCAGGAATAAGAAGAGTCCATACTTTTCAAAGGAAGTTCTCTTCCGATAGCCAGGTTAAAGCCGTCGTGCAGAACCTACCTGCCAGATTGGGTTCTCGTGCCAGACTTGATCTGGCCCTGGTGGAAGCAAAGAAATTGTTTACAGTAGGATCTGGAAGCCGGCCTCACGCAAGAAAGGTTGTTGTTATATACACGGACAGAGAACAAACCGGCAGTGACACGGCTGCAGCAGCCAAAACCTCGAAGGAAATGGAAAAGGAAGGAATTCAGATTATTGTTGTTCTTTTGAACATGAGGAACGTTCCTCCAATTTGCGGTGTGGTCACTCCAAATAAGATAAGTATCATTCCGTCAAAACCAGAAGAAGGTCCTAAAGTGGGTGTGGACAAGATCAACGAAGTTCTGAAAGAAGGTATACATATTTTATTGATACAGATCGGATATTTAAATTGCTCTTGTGGTGTGAAAATTTTCTGTGTAAAAAGGCGAAAGAGTGAGTCACATTTTCTGTCAGTTGAGTTTGTCCTGTTCTTAGACGTGATCCACACTTTGTTATTGGAGAGTTTGTTTCCTGGTTTCCTTCATTTTATATCTGAATTAAGACGCCATCATTCGTATGTTTGAAGTACATTTTTTACATTTTAGGTCTTAAACCGACTCCAGAGATTGAACTATGCTTTGCCTTCAGCGCAACAAGCATAAAATCAGGCAAGACATCGCTTTTGATGAAGAAGACAATCAACAAGATCATCGAAAAGTATGGCGCTGTCAAACTTCACTATTTAGCCGTCGTGTTTGGTACCCAAGCTCAACCTTTAATTAGTTTCCGAGATCAAAATCTAAGCGACAAAGATCTCATATCCATCATCAGCCGTGTTCGACTACCTCCTGGCAGCCCCAGACTAAATGTAGCTTTGCAAGAAGTTAAGGAAACCTTCGACAAGAGTCCCAAGCGGCCCGGGGTAAAGCGAGTGCTAGTCGTGTTGATTGACAACAAGTCAACTGGTGACGCAGACAACATGAAGAAGCTGCAAGCTGCTAAAGAGCTGTACGGAGGAGACGTGAGCATAATCATGGTCGCGATTGGTGAAGAAACAGATCTGAATGAGCTTGGAACAGTGATATCTCGTAAAGAGAATCTCATTAAAGAGTCCATAGACGTTGATCCAGAAGAACTTGCGGAGAAAATAGTCGAGAAGACCTTTGGCGGTAAGTAGCCCCTCCATTATAATTTCTTTACGTACGAATGGGGAATAATGATGGCGAGACAGTGAAAGCGCTTCGTTCCCACCGCTGTAGCCTGCGTTGATTCCTAAACCTAAAGCGTCGCCGGTGGGTTGATGTTGTTAATATAGTGGTCAAGAGGGTATAAACTTTAGCCGGCCGTACGCAATTTCCTGCGCAGTTTCCCGCGCAAACTTTGCGCAGAATCCTACGTGGTTGTTTCAAACGTGCTACTTTTAAATAATTGAAAAATAGCACACGTTTTCGAGACGGGCAGTTGAATCAAACATTTCGTATCTTTGTCACAATTGAAGAACGCAAGATTTTGAAGTTTTGTAGACGGTTCCTCTAGGTGTTCTTACTTCACAGTTATTTTACTAAGCTATTATTATATCTGGGATAATTTTATAGCTAGATACTTAACTAGGGGTTTCCTCTGAACTTCGATCAAAGATAATTCAATAAAGGAAAAGGAAATGCATGCGCCTCAGTCGGTCGTACAGTGCTCCATCGCTTGATTGATAGTTTCTCTTTTCGATGTCAACAGCTGCAAAAGAGGAGCGTATTCCTGAAACGGATATTGTTTTTGCAATCACTGCAACCTCTTCAAGGTGGAACAACAACCTTCAACATATGAAGGATGCAATCACTTCGATCCTGGACACGTTCTCCATGGATTTGATACGAGTCGGTGTCATTGTGTTCGGAGGAGAAGTTGATACTTCCATTTCCATACAGAGTAACTTAGATAACTCGCTACAAGCTGATGTTGGCAGGCTGCTACCTAAATTTGGAGTACCAGACCTAAAAAGTGCACTCAGTGTTGCAAAGAATGTTTTTCAGACAAGCGGGAGAACAAACGCTCGCAAGGTTATAGTGGTGATATCTGACAGACGGTCTGGCAGCAGCCAAGAAGACATTGAAGCCGAGGTAGATCGTCTGACTGAAGAAAATATCGTACTGATCAGCGTTGTAATTGGTAACGAAGCTGACCCTAAAGAACTGAAGAAGTTTACTCCTCACGAAGTGACGAAAACCACACCAGATGAAAATCCGAAAGAACTGGGCGAGAAGATCATCATCTTAGTGCTGAAAGGTAAAAAAGTATTGATTGAATATGTCGTGAAATCTTGCAATATTGCCGTTCAAAAAATTTGCCTTTTTCCATTGTTAGGTTTGGTAGGAATTTAGCTGCGAGAAGAAGTAAGAATATTGCGATATTGACCTCTACCCGAAGCGGTTACTGTAGATATACCTGTATCTGTTTTATTTCATGATTTGCCAATTATCTCCAAATAGAACCAGTTGTAGACCTTGCTTTTGCCGTTAGCGTTGACCAAGGGAACCTCAAACTTCTCAAGGACACAGTACAGAAAGTGATCGACAACTACGGCGTGGACAGAATACATTATGGTCTCATCACATTTGGTTCGTCCGCCACGATTAAGATCCGATTTACAGATGAGGTCAAGGACCCGGACGAGCTAAAGAAGTCTGTCAGTGAAAACATGATATCGACTCGCAGTTCTCCGAATGTAGACGAGGCCCTAGCAAAGGCGGAAATGCTGTTCCAAGGTTCAAAGCGAGATCAGACACACAAAATTTTAGTGGTGATAATGGATCGGTTATCATCGAGTGATCCTCTTATCGTACAGGTACACGGTATTTAGTTGTAATTGTTTGCAGTAGAGGTGCTCTTCTTTACTGCTTCGGACCTATATTCGTCCTACACTAGCGGCGCGCAAATGTTTCTGATTTAACTGTGCTGAAATAGTTATTTCTTCTTAAATCTGTTGGGTAGAACACATAGTAATAGACCATCCTAATAATTTACGTACTGATTCTAAATACGACAAGCCACTTTCGATCTCGCGATTGTATGATTATGACCGTATGAACGAATGTTTCTCGACAGCGACAACTTCGTACAGACTGTTTATTTTGAGATGTAGTTGTATTGCTAGTGTGACCGCAAACGTTCCTTAATTTCGTGCTGAAAGGAAACGAAAGGAAGTATATCACTATAGACTGCTGTTTCTGACGCGGGTTAAAGTACTAAAACATTTTATTTTAACCATCTTAGGCCAGAGCTAGAAGACTGGTGGACTTAGGAGTGACAGTAATCCCTGTTATTATTGGCGATGAAGTAAACAAGGAACATGTCAAGCCCGTTACAGATGACGAAGATCGTATTGTGCCAGTCCAACCAACTGATAGACCAGAGGAAGTGACAGTGGTTATTGTCGTCCAAATAGACGAGGCTATAAAAAGTACGTATCCTCACACATTTTTGTAATTTTATCGCTGTGCTTGTTCAACGAGTGCTCTGTATTATTCTGTTATCCATTTTTTTAAATAGACAGTACAGCTTGCCAGCACTTCTCCCTACTGATTACTTGCCTACCTGGTAAAATTTCACATTTTGAATTACCAGGCCACGAACTCTACCTTGATTGAGTGAATATTTGAAAGTCCAAGCAAAACAAACTTTCGAAGTAACCCAAATTTCATGAAAATAGAATTGAACTGTTTCATTTTTCTTAGTACTTCAGAGAGAGTGAAGACGGTTGTCAAATACGTAACTCTTCGGGCGAAGTATTCTTTGAAATTCGCTACTTCAATGAGCGAAATTCGCGCACCTCACTCAATTACGTTTTCTCAATACTATAAGTTAGTAATGGAAACTTTGTGTGGAATTCAATCTATCTTTTATGTGCCACAGGACCTGCTCAATTAGTAGACGTCAACCTTGTGTTTGCCATCAGCGCCAACTCCATGGATTCGGATAGAACCTTCCTACAGATGCAGGAGATCATGAAATCCGTTGTGGACACTTATCCCACATCGAATATATTTTACAGTGTTTTGTCTTTCGGAGATTCGCCTGTTGTTCATTTGGACTTCACCGACCAACTTTCCGACGAGAATATTAAACGAACGATTGACTCCATTGGTCAAACAACTGGTTCAAGCTCTCTCGATAAAGCCTTGGACAAAGCAAGGGATCTTCTTAACGCCGCAGCCACAGAGAGGCCCGGTGCGAAAAATATTCTTGTTGTAATGGTAGACAGTAAATCTGACAGTGACATGATCGATGTCAAGGTCTCGTCAAGACTGCTTCGGGGTGATGGAGTGAAGGTGATGGTTGTTGGTGTCGGTAATGAGGTGGATCAAGAAGAAACAGGAAGCATCACATATATTGCGATTCTCACCAATACAACCGATAGACCTGAGGGCGTGGCCAAAGAGATTATTAGAAACATTGACAAAGGTAAGAATGAAGCAGGTTTGAGGTCGATTCTTTATTCCTTTGAAATTAGTCTCTGTGAAAGATAGACATCATTGGATGAGTTAGAGTGCATAAAGTTTTTTCAATTATTCACTTGGCGTATCTTTACACGTCATATTGTCAACGCACCTCTTAAACCCTATTCAAAAGGCGGTCTTATATTCGTTTGCAGTTAGTTTAAAGAACTGTTAACGACCATAACTGTCCTTGGCAACTACAACTGCATGGGTATTTTGTATTAAGATCTAAACTCCATGGTGGTAGGACCCCGAAAAACAATAGAGAACTTCATCTCCCGACAAAAAAATTGCTATGGGTCAATCCACATTTCAATACGCCGCTGGAAAGGAATTGAACGATCTTTCATACGAACTTCGCACCTGCGATAAGCTAAGAACTTTTAAATGAAGACTTTACATTAATTAAGATTTAACAAGAATATTGTGTTTTCAGTCTAGGTAACGTCTTTATGAATATCATTATTATTTCTATTAGAAACCTTGCGGGATGTTCTCATTCTTTTTTATTTCAGACACTCGAGATATTCCCGCAATCGACCTTGCATTTGCCTTGAGTGCTGCTGCTGTAGACGCCGACGATATCTTCGATAAGATGAAGAATACAGTAGATACTATAGTAAAGCTTTATGGCGTTGACAAGATCCGGTACGCACTCGTGACATTTGGAGACAAAGCTAATACTGTCGCTGATTTCGACAATGACCGCGGGAAAGACGCACTTAGGACAATTGTTCAAAACGTTAGCCGGCCAACGGGTGAACCAGACGTGAGGGAAGCCTTGGAAGAAGTAGAAAAACTGTTCGAAAATGCTTCGCCCAGACCTGGAAGCTGGAAAGTGCTTGTGGTTTTTATAGATAAGAAGTCAGCCAATAGCCGTGATGACATCAAGGAGGCAGCTAAACCGCTTATAGAGAAGAATGTCACAATTATACCTGCGACTGTCGGGTCAGAGGTTAATGTCGATGAAATAGAAGTACTGGTTACCAACAAGGAATTCATCGCCATCTGTCCAGTTCCTGAGCCCGACACCTGGCCAGAGATAATCATCGATAAGGCTATACAGGGTGGGTCACGGAACTAAAGCTAAATGATGAAGCTAAAAGCTTTTGTTACTTGGTTTCCTCTCTTGCATTGGTCATTACAGATTCTAATAAACTAACGGAAATTTTGGTCAGTCACGTGGGAAATCTAGATATCTGTTTCATATAATAATGTTGTTGTTTTTTTTTTTAATCTATGACCCACTTTTTCACAAGAGGTAGGAAACTCGAAACCTATGGCTTGAAGTGAACTTTTTGCCCAATTATTCGCCTCTAGAGCTGTTTAAATTAATCTGCCGGCGATTTGATATCTCTGTACTTTGGGTACAGTGTTCTTTTCGAGACCAGATTCTCATTATTACGAGCAAAGACGCTTATCAAAGACTGTATTTTACTTGACATTAAGTCCCTGAGTTCAGTTAATGTTTTGGAGAGTTGTTAGACCAGATGATAGAGCTACATGTAGCGTTCACAAGTTATGAAAATTATGAAAGACAAAATTCTGATATCGGTCGTGGAATATAAAAAAGTGTTGTTTGTCGCAAGTTTAACTTCTGTGTTACACTGTATCAGAAGGTTTCATGCTATGAAAAATCATTATTTTGAATCTATGATCCATATCCTAAAATGTCTCTAGATCTCCAATAATACACTGAAACGTATATCATAGAGCCATAAGTTGCAGATGACGTCGCACGTGTGCTGCAGCATAACCGGTGCCACATTTCCGACTACTTATCGAAAGATTCTCTATTTTGTAGAACTGCCAAAGATTCCAAAGCTCGATCTGGGATTTGCTATCAGCATCGGTTCCTCGGATGCAGATGCCAACTTACAAAAGATCAAAGACACCATGAAATCGATAATAGATCGTTACGGAAAAAGCGATATTCGATACAGCTTCATTCTCTTTGGTGATGAACCGTTTGAGAGAGTCAGCTTTGCTGAGAGCCAGCGTTACACTGTCGCTACTCTCAAGGATAGAATCAATCGTTTCACACGAATCTCTGGTGCAGCTTTAGACAAAACCCTGGAGGAGGCCAAAGAGATTTTTGAGCGTACAGCGAGACCTGATGCTAAGAAGGTGTTGGTTGTCATTATGGACCAGACGCAGTCGAGTGGAAGGGAGAGCACTAAAAGGAAGGCAAAAGAGTTACAGATATCTGGAGTTAAGGTTGTTCCAGTGGTGCTCGGTGAAGAAGGAAACAAAGTGGAATTGGAGGAAATCACCCGACACAAAAATAACCTGGTGGAGATGGAGAAAGATGAGAATGAAGAGAAAGCTGCTGGAAAGATAATGATCAAAGTGCTGGAAGGTAACTTAACATGTTCCAAGTTTGTCATTTTACGAATTCAATTCAATCACGTGCAAACATGATCCTCACAGCTAGATTGTCACTTTTCTTTACGGGATCGGAGAACTCACTAAACCTTGCCTCGCTTTTAACCTTAATTTTTCAGGTTTTTTTTTCTGCAGTCGCTCAAATTATGATTTATTGCAAGTCAAATTAAAATTCATTTACCGAACTACTGTTTCGTAATATCCTTTCAACTTGCGACGTTTTATTGCGCCTTGAAAACCGTCGGTAATCAAAATATCTCGAAGAAAATCGTTTTAGAGGCGCTGACAATTTTAAAGAATACGCACCAAGAGCCCATAGGTTTAGAACGAACTTAATGTAGGCTGCCGTCTTGACATTTACGTACTTCTTTCTTCCCTCACCATCCCTAAGAAGAAATTCTTTTTCAGCCGCAAGTTGTGTAAGGTCGGCTGTTTAAATGATGGCTCGTTTGATTATTAATCTTGTCGCTTTTAATCCATTTTCCTGCTTGTCATTTGTTTGCTTTAGATGTCACCGATGAGGAACAGATGGTAGACATTGCATTTGCTCTTAGTGCCACAGCATTAAGCTCAGACGACAACTTTAGGAAGATGAAATCTCTACTGGATGAGATCATAAACAGCTACAGTCCATCTGCCTCTCGCTACAGTATCATAACATTTGGGAAGACCCCAGTGGTTGAACTCGATTTTGGAGGCGTGAGCGACCTCATGGAATTGAGAGAAACCTTACAGCAGATCACAAAGAATCAGCAGGGCGCCGACCTTGCCAGGGCCCTTCGAAAAGCTCGGCAGCTATTCCAGACAGCAGCCGTGAGTCGTCCTAATGCTAAAAAGATCCTGGTGGTGGCAATGGATAAGGTGTCTGACAGTGATGAGATCGCAGTGACAGTAGCCGCCAGATCTTTGGCTCAGGATGAAGTCCGAGTTATCGCTGTCACGTTTGGAAAAGAGGCAGATCCACAAGAGATTGAAAAGACAATTCTGAACAAGAACAATGTGATCCAAACTGACGATAATGATGGTTCCGAGGATATTGCGGTAGAAGTTGTGGAAAGAGCAAACAATGGTTAGTAGAAAGGATTTCATGAACATTTGGTGTTCAGGTGAAAATGAAATGTTTGAGGTAAATCAATTTTGTCAGATGCATCGGTTAGTTGACAATAAGAGAGTCAAAATAGCCA